GTAGACATTTGCGGAAGGAGTAGTTAGTTGGAGCTTCATGCCTGGCGCGGGTGATGTGCAGATGCCGCGCGCCAACACGTGGTGGCGCTGCGGCCACGTGTGTGGGCGCCCAGCCTCTCCGGCTTCCGCGGGCCAGGCTGGAGGCGCTCTGTGTCACCACGCAGGCTCCCTGATGCTCAAGAAAGTCTTCTAGAGCCAGGAACACCTTGTGCAGAGCCGTGATGTCGGTCACGTATGTTTGAGGACAGACTCTTGCCCTAGTGACTGGTGCGTTCATGCAACCTTGAGGCTCTGGGCATCTTCCTTCTGCACCCAAGGCAACCCTGCCTTTCTCAAAAGTCCAAGGTCTTAGTGAACTGTGTGTTTTCTGTTCTGCTTAAATACAGATGTTCAGGATCCAAACTTACTATGATTCTACACTCTTCTAGGGTTTGTGCCTCAGAGTAATCCCTCACATCCCCACCCCGGGCCTCAACATTGTGCCTTGAACATAAGTACATGGTACATATTAGCTATTGGTTGATGAACTGGGTGACTAGATGTTGAAAAAGGATGGCTGACATGGGCATTTAAAGTTCTATGGGAGGCTGGCTGGAGAGAATGGATATCTCACCCCCCCCCCCACTGGATTTATCAAATTAGGCTCCAGAGGTAACTGTCTACATCATCATTGGATAGGGTCAGCCCTCCCGGAGGCAAAACAGCTTGGGATACCGGACTCTGTCCCGTGTTCTCCTGGACTCCATCCTGCTTTCTGTGAGAGAGCACCATCAAACTGTCCTTTGAAATTCTCATATATTATTTCACAAACTTGGTGGAATAAAAAGAGCCCTGCTTGGGAAAGAAACCCTGTGTATTGGTGTTGGTCATGAGTTCTGGGCAAGTCTTAGTTGCCAAGTCTGTAAAAGAGGTTGCACTAAGTGATCTTCAAGGGTCTTACAGTCCTAACAGGGTGTGGATAACCTGTAAGCCATATTGCTGTGTGATCTGCACAAGTTACCTGGTTTCTCTGCACCCGATTTCTTCATCTGTGAAATACAAATACTAGCAGGAAATAGCTCATGGGACATGTATTTATTTTACTGCAGCTAACCCTTTTTGGCAAGATGACTATGTGTGTGGCACACTTCTAATTTTATTTTTTTAATTGACAGATAAAATTGTATGTATTTACCTTGTACAAAATGATGTTTTAAAAATATGAGTAAGTGTGGAATGACTAAATCTAGTTAAACATCTGCTCATGGGCTTTTTAAAAAGAGAAGATGAAATTTACATAACATAAAAGTAGCCATTTAAAAGTGTACGGGACATTCACAATGTTGATCAACCACCACCTATATCAAGTTCCAAAACATTTTCATCACCTTAAAAGGAAACACCATGTGCATTAAGCAATTACTTCCCAGGCACCCCTCCCAGCCCCTGACAACCACTAGTTTGCTTTGCTGTCTCTATGAATTTACCTATTCTGAATACTTCACATAAATGAATTCATACAATGTGTGACATTTTGTGTTTGGATTCTTGCGTTTAGCATAATGTAATCGAGGTTCATTCACACTGCAGCATGTATCAATCAATACCTTATTTCATTTCATGACTGGAATATTATATTGTTGTGTGGCTACATCACAGTTTGTTCACCTATTCATCCATGTATGGACATTTGGGTTGTGTCTGCCTTGCAGCTGTTGTGACTAATGCTGCTACAAACATGGCCGTGTGTGTATTTATTCGAGTTACTGTTTTCAGTTCAGCTTGCAGGGTCTTTATGAGGACTGGATACCTGCTTACCACCTACTGTGGGCCAATGGATGCCTTTAATGCTGCTCTGAAGGTGTGCCAAGAGGACTTCCCTGGAGATCTGTCTCAGATCCAGGGGCCAGACCTCATGACTGGTTTTTAGTCTATGTTTCTCTTCCTTCCTCACTTGCTGGATGGTGGGAAAAAAACCAGAGCAAAACAAGTAGGATGGACTAGGTAGGACAGAAGCAGTAGGAAAAGAGGAGGGTGGCTGGGGACAGACACTGGGCAGGTATTCTAAAGCAGGGCAGAGGGGCAGGAAAGACAACCATGGTCCTGGGACGAAGCAAGACCCTAAGGTGGGTTTAGAAAATAAGAAAGCCTGTTGTCAATGTCAGTTCCCGCTTCTCTAGAAGTTGGGGCAGGCCTGGGAATCATGACACTGGCAGAATATGGTCAGGACAGGAGAATGGCTCAGGCAAGGGTAAGGAAGCAGGCGTCCGCTAGGCAAGTGACTCGGTGGTCTAGTACATGAACACAGGATTCTGCTGGTGGATGACGGGTGCTCTTGGGATGGAATTGGGACTGGAAGCTAGGATGGACTTTGGGAATTGCCAGCTTGAGATCAGGTGGCAACATAGTGACTGGCAAACACCAGTTTTCAACAAGCTAATGCTGCCCGGGAGGCAACCCATCAGGGCTGTTCTTGCTGAATGAGAATGGAAACACGTCCTTTGTACGTGCCTGACATGAATGGAGAGGCAGGTCTCTAAGAGCAGTGTGTGCTTCTTCTGGAATTCTGGGGAATGTCTGCTTAGGTGGCAGAGGAAGCAGAGCAAGACTCTGGGTAGCTTTAGGCAAAGCTAACGTGGAGTAAATGGCTAAGACCTAGGCTGGCGAAGGTTTCCTTCTTGGCCCTGGGTTCAAGAGAACTGAGAGGAATGACTCCCATCTTCACCCACATGGTGGGAATCAGATGAAGGGCAAGAGGGTGAGAGCCTGTATATTGGCTGTAGGAAATAGGCCAAAATAAGTGTGTGCATTCCCAAGTTATCTATTCTTGACTCAGTTTTTGGCTTGAGGTTTCCTTTCCCAAAAGTTAAGCCATGAATACATTGTAGGAGAGACATTTCAGATTGTACAGGAGAGAGCAACAGCCTAGGAATAGAAGAAGGCATGAGGCAGGGAGTTGCTATCTTGGATGCAAATAATTCCGTCCTAACATAGCATTCAGGGGAAGTGCCAGGATTCGTCCAGGGAGAATGCCTTTGAGACAAGGGTAGAACCACTGTAACACCATTTTTTCCTGCCCCCTGAATGCTGTACTTTGCACATGCTGCAAGTCCTTTTGCTCTTAGCTGTTTTCATTCACAACTCACATTAGAATGACTTTAGAATTCTCAATGTGCTGGGTCAGTAAACTCATGATTTTTGTAAGTGGGAAGAGATAGAAAGATCATCTCCCCATTAAAAAGTGGGCAAAAGACATGAATAGAAACTTCTCAAAAGAAGATATACGAACAGCTGACAGACACATGAAAAAGCATTCACTCTCACTAATTATCAAAGAAATGCAAACCAAAACCATATTGAGATACCACCTAACTCCAGTAAGAATGGCCATCAATAATAAAACAACAATAGATGCTGGCAAGATTGCGGAGAAAAAGGAACGCTTCTATACTGCTGGTGGGAATGGAAACTAGTGCAACCTCTTTGGAAAACAGTATGGCAATTTATAAAAGAACTAGACATTGACCTTCAATATGATCCAGCAATTCTCCTACTGGGAGTATACCCAGAGGAACTCAAATCATTCTACACAAAAGATACCTGCACATGCATGTTTATTGCAGCACTATTCACAATAGCAAAAACATGGAATCAACCGTGCTGCCCATTGAAACTGAACTGGATTTTAAAAAAGTGGTACATATACACAATGGAATATTACGCAGTCATAAAGAAGGACAAACATATGGACTTCGCAGCAACTTGGATGGATTTAGAGTCTATCATATTTAGTAATCTATCACATAAACAAAGAACAGAGTACCATATGTTCTCACTCATAAGTGAACCCTGAACATTTACCATAATACTATAAGAAAGGGATTGGCAGTAGCAGAATACTGCCGGGGTGGGAGGCACAACATCAATAAGGGTACTTGGTCTCAAACCAGGGGACCAAAGGGAGGCCCTGACTTTACCTGTATAATGACCCCATGTATACCTGATCCTGAATTGTACCCCCACATCTTTAAAATAGAATTTAAAAATTTAAATAATAAATAAATAAATGAAATGAAAGGAGAGAGTTAAAAAAAAAAGATCATCTAACTCAGTCTTCCCATTTAATAGAAGAGGAGGCAAAGGCCCTGGGCCTGGCCCAGATGTCACTGGACTAGGGGCACGGTGGAGAGGTAGGACAGCATATAGTGTGAGTAGAAGAATCAAGACTAGAACCCAGGTTTCCAGGCTGTCCGCCCATGCTTTTTCTACTGTTGGGCAAGTTCTGAGAAGTGAAGTCTGGCTGCAGGGGTTTGTATGTCCCTCAGGAACCACTCAGGAGGCTGCACTTCTCTGCACTCACCCTCCCTCCTATTTCTAAATATTTGAAACACAAAAGCCAAGCTACAGAGGAAAGATATTTTGTATATGTTTGTCAGGAGTGAGAGAGTGTCTAATTATCCTTTTTTTGGTCTTGAGACCCTTAATAGAAGTTAAAGGACACTAACCTGTGAATCAAGGAGACTATACTAGTTACTGGAAAGAATCATTAAGGCTCAAGTGCAAAGAATCTTAGTCAAGACAGAAGCAAAAAAAGAAAATCAATGTTTAGACCAAAGAGGAGAATATTAAATATGGGGTCAAGAGAACATGGAGAATTTTAAATACAAGAATAAGGCATATAAGATTTGTTCAAAAAGAGATTATAGAGAAACAGGAGACTGATTTTTTAATGGAGGTAGCAGGGCTTCCGAAAGATCAAAGCATATTAGAAAATGGCAATATAGTTAATAAATGTCGGACTAGTGTCAAGGCTGGAGAAACTAGATTCCCTCAGGACTAAATAAGTAGGCAATAAATATGCCAGTCACACTGTTGGCATGGTTAAAAATTGGAAATTCCGGGAAGTTTGCTGATGGAGTGGGTTGTAAATTTCCTTCTCAGAAGGCTGCTGTCATCCGGCCCAGCCAGAGGCAGACAAGGAGGCCTGAGCTCTGCTAATGTGCTGTGGATTCCTTCCTTAGATGGCTGGGACAGCACGTCATGACAGAGAGATGGCGATCCAGGCCAAGAAAAGACTCACTACAGCCACCGACCCTATAGAAAGGCTCCGACTGCAGTGCCTGGCCCGGGGCTCTGCAGGCATCAAGGGACTTGGCAGGTAGGACCTGGATGCAAGATGGCAGGGACTGGAGTAGAAGCCAGAGCATGGCCAGGTGAGGCTAATGTGGACTGCATGGTTTGGGTCAGTCATTTCTTCCTAGGGGCTCAATTCTTATTTATAAAATGCAGGGCTTGGAAGAGTTGATCTATGAGGTTCCTCATGACAGTTCTTAGTCTTATATTCAACATGACTCACACATCCGAGAGAGTGCCACTCTGGGAGATAGTGAGAAGGGAGAAACATGCTCCATAGTGGTGATTTCTAACAGGGCCGTGAAAGAGAAGCTCCTTGAAACTGTGGTCATAGAGATGAGGGTGGAGGGGAGAAGAAGGAGGGAACCCTGCTTTAGCCCTAAATGCTGGATTTAGAGTTCTGTTCTTGGTAATCATGTCTTATTCACCTTTAGGGCACTGGAATTACTTGTCAGAAAATGGACACCTCACTGCCAATGGGGTTCTCCCAGCTGGCTAGCTACTCTTTTCCTACTGAGATTGTGAGCCTCTTGAGAGCAGGTCCTCAAGACAAAACATTAAGAGCCTGCCATGGACCAGGCATTGTACCATCTCGGGGAATCAAGGGCAAACAAGGCTTCTTCAAGCCTCCCCTGGAGGACTTAGACAGGGGAGGAGGAGAGTGGCATAAATGACCTGTCAGTGGTGTGAGAAGTTGTATGTTAGAGAAGTGCAGGGTGAAACGTGCACATAGTCTTTGTAGAAGTCTTCACTTCCAGCAAGGTACTGAGTGTCTGGGAGACCACTCTTAACAGTCCTGAGTCTCAGACCAAGCCCATCTCTGTCAGAAGCCTAGGCTGCAGGTGTATAAACCCAATGGCCATCCTGTCACAGTCAGTGGAAAGACCAGCCCACTTGCTGTCAATATTGTATCACTTCAGCCACTACCTCTTTCATTCTGGGTCCACATCATTGTCCTCAATGCAAACCCTTGAGGAACCCTATCCTCTCTTCCACTCCCTGGTCCGTTCCCTGGTCATTCTGCTGCCTATGCCGCCTCTACTCCACACTGCCTACACCCTGTACCTACACCAGCTCTTCTCCTGGGAACCAGTCTATAGTGAACAGATACCATCTCATTGGTGGACTTCTGCTTGAATGTGCTCTTTGCCTCCCTTTCTTGTCTGAACTTTCCCCAAGTCTCTCCTCAAGTCAAGTGGAGGCTGCCCCGACCCTTCCACACCTGCCAATTGAGGGTTAAATACTCCCTTCAGCCTACCTTCTGATCCTAGGTAATATTCACCCGTTGGTTCATTTACTTCTTCCTTATAAATGCTGTTTTTGAAGGACATTTCTTCAGGCGAGGCTCTGCCATCTTTTCACCCCCAGGGCACTCAACATTCTGTGGTATCATCTTTTTACCCTGTCTTGCGTCCTTATCTTAACCAAGATCAGGATGATTTTGTCATTATTTTGACACCTTCATTTTTTGACGCCAAATTCTGATGGTTTTCAACAGTATATGTTCTTTCTCAGTCATTTCCAATTGTCTTTTAAATGTAGACATTTGTCAAGATTCTGTTGCTAGCATCCTTAATTCTCCATACATCTTGTCCACTCCTGAGTTAGCTCATCTGTACCCTGGCTTCTTGCACTGAATCCTTGCCTGACCCCTAAATTCTTGGCATCAAGTCCTTGCCTGACCCCCAAATTTATTTCACAATTTAAATCTTTTATTAGGAAAATATTATCTAACTAGCTAACTAACCAACTACCCAGTGAATATCTCTATGTAGTTGCCTTACTATCCAAAACAAAACAAAATTCATCATCCCTTCCTGCAATCAGAGAGCTTCCCCTAGAGCCCTACTCTTTTTTTTTAATGGTATCACCACTCTTATAGATCCTTGGATTGAGAACACTGGGTTATCTTTATTAACCCCAAAACTGACTACTCTATTTCTGTCGTATCTTGTAATCTTATTTTCATCTCACTTACTGAAGTGTGGGCTCTCAGTATCTCTTCCCCAGACATTTACTGTAGTATTCTTTCTGGCTCCCTTGCTTCCAAGTGTTCAGTCCTCTAGTTCATTCAACCTGCTATTGTTAGAGTTCTCGCTTTAAAAAAATATTTTATTTTTTTATAGAGATATGAGGTACAAGTAAGGATTAACTATGCAAGTAGGCTGCATGCAGGTGAAGTTTGGGCCTCTGACTGTCCCCCTGGTATTCTATTAAACTTTTATTTTGATAATGTCATTTCCCATAAAAACTATTCAATGATTTTTTAAAAAGGCATAATAAAGTTCAAACATTTACCATTTAAGGACATTTAAAATTCCTCAGATTCTGCCATTAACCCAATTTTCCATCTAAATTGTATTATTTCTTCTTTTGGAGCTGTCCTCCAGCTTTCTCAGATGTTCCAACAATACCTTAGAAACTGCTGTTGGTCTGAAATGCAGCCTCCCTCCTGTCTCTCAAAACCACCGATTATCCTTCTCTTTGTGAGTTTCTTAAGGACAGAAACTGAGCCTCATTCACCTTTGTAGTCCTCTTCACAGGGCTTAGTGCACCGTTTGGCACATTATACCTGCCTAACTAATGAATTTTACTGAATAATACATGGTGGTTTCAAGATACACTGTTTATTTACTTATGTTTTACAAGGAAACCGACAAGTTCACTTCCTGTAGCACTGCTGTTTGTTCATCAGTTACTCGATTCATCTGTTCATCCAGCCAGTGAATATTTATTGAATAGCCAATACATAGTAAACATACAGTAGTAAACAAAACAGTCAGGATCTCTGCCTTCGTGGAGCCTGTGTTCTAGTCTAGTGATTCCTTTATTCAAAGTGTTCCTTCTTATTTTTCAAACGATATGTAATACAAAGGAGTAAGAATTTGTCATTTTTGCATATAACTAGCTGAGGGAAGTACAACTTGTGATTTGATAATTATACATTATTTTAGAATTAATAAGACCTTTAAGATCAGTCTAGTCCCTTACTGAAAACTGAGACCCAGAGAGATTACATGATGTGCACAAGGTCACATGACTAGTTTTAGTGGTAGAACTGGAAATCAAGTCCAGAATTTCTGAATCCTAGCTAAGAACTCTTTTTACATGATAGACCAGCAGCAAAATGGAAATTCTGAGGGCTGGGCTGAGGGTAGTGGGTGATGGTGGAGGAAAGGGAAATATGTAGCAAAGATTGAGGTCCCAGTGGAGTGTGATGAGATTGATAGAAGATATATCAGTTCTTTCACAGACAAAAAGTTATAAGTACCACATGTTTGCAGGTGATCAGACATAGCTCGAGATAATGAGGCATGTTTTCAAGTGGAGGTTACTTATAGCTACCACAGTATCTATACGTTTTGTATAGTCAGTGGATGCATGTTTTAAAAGTAAGAAGCTGTGCTTACATTGCATGCTAAAGTTCTGGGGACATTATCAAGAAAAATAGGTACAACAGGATATTCAAAGTACCTACCTACATTTTCTGTTTTCCTTCAATTCGGAGATGAGAAGATTTTGGGTCCTTTGGGCCTATTAGCAAAAATGAAACCTTGAAAAATGTTGCATGTTTTTATTTTTTAAAATTAGACTACTTTAAAAACAGCCTTATATTTACAGAAAAATTGTGAATATGGTACCAAGAGTTCTTACGTAACCTCCTTACTCAGTCTCTCCTATTATTAACATTCTACATTATTATGGTACATCTACTACAAGTAATAAATCAATGTTGGTATATTATTTTTAACTAAGGTCCATACTCTATTTACATTTCCTTAGTTTTTACCTTGTATCCTTTTCTGTTTCAAGATCCCATCCAGGATACTGCACTATATTTATATGTCATATTTCCTTAGGCTTCTCTTGGTTATAATAGTTTATTAGAATTTCCTGGTTTTTGATGAGCTTGACAGGTCAAGTATGTTGTAAAATGCTTCCCTATTGAAATTTGTCTGACTCTTTTCTTTAATGATTAGACTGGGGTTATTGGTTTTGGGGGCCACGGAGATCAAGTGTCATTTTTATCACATCATGCCAACGATGTACATGATTAACATGATTTATTGATAACTGTTGATAGTGACCTTGTTCACTTGATCAGGCTTTTCCAGTGAAAAGTTACTTCCCTTCTCCTCTTTTGTATTGTACTATTTGGAAGGAAGTCTCTATGTAGAGCACACACTTAGGGAGAAGGGAATATGTTTTCCCTCCTTGAGGGCAGAGTATATACACAATTTATTTTATTTGAGATTTTTCTCAAGGGAAATATGTCTTTTTCCTTCTGTTTATCTATTTGATAATTAATTAGACCAATATAAACTCATGGATATTTACTTTCTATTTTAGGCAATCCGACATTATTTTATTGATCAAATTATTCCAGCTCTGGCCTTGGAAGCTCTCCTGTGTCCCTTTGACATATTTCTATCAATGTAGTTTATTTATTTATAACACTTCCTTACTTTCTGGTACTGTAAGATGCCCTAAGCTCATTCCGTATATTACATGCCCTCAGTTTGAGATGTGCTTATTGTTTCTGGGGGGTTGTTATTTCTGGGTCTTCTCAACTGATAGAACAAGGAAATATATGTCACATACTAACCTGTGAACAAATATTTTATATGTAACCATTTATGCCCATATTAAGTTAACAAGAGTTCATATGACATTTCCAACTCTAATCCATCACTATATGGATTATTCTAAACTTCTCCCTTAGCTTATTTGTAAATCCCCATTCCAAGTGTGAAAACCTGTCTTCCACCCTTGTTATCCATTCACTTGGTTGTTCAATTCCAGTATAATATGTACAGCAGTGCCAGAATTGTTAACCTGTATCCTCGTGGGAAATAACTTGATCAACTAGTGATGGTGTGCAGTTCCTGTGGTCATACAGACTCCACTCATTTCTAAAGTCACTTAAATCACTTTTCTTTCCCACCCTTTTCAGTGAGGTTGTTTCATACTTTTGTAATACAGTGAGATTCTCTTGTCACAGTTTACATTTGTTCCTGGGATCTCTTGACTTCCTAAATGTTTTCTTTTTAAATTCATATGCATTAAGGTTTATGCTTTGTGCTGTAAAGTCCTATGAGTTTTAGCAAATAAATAATGTCATGTATCCGCCATCATAGTATCATGCAGAAAATTTTTATTGCCACAAAAATCCCCTGTGCTTCACCAATTTAACTCTCTCCTCCTCCTCTCATCTTTTTATCATCACCATAGTTTTACCTTTTTTAGAATGTTGTATCATTAGAGTCACCCGGTGTGTATATATGTGTTTTATTTTTAATTTAAATGTATTTATTATAGAGTTATAGGGTACAAGTGAGGATTTACTATATAAGTAGGCTCTGTGTAGGTGAAGTTTGGGCTTCTAAGTGGTCCTCATTCTCCCTGATAGTGGACTGATAGTGGACTCTTTGTGTTGCCACATGCCACTCCACCTTCCTCCCTCTCTCTTTGCTCTAGCAGTGCCTAGTGGCTGCCAATCCTATTCTTGTGCTAATGTGACTAGTGATCAGGGCCCACTTATGAGTGAGAACACATGGTATCCAGTTTTCTGTTTCTGTGATAGTTCACTTAGTAAGATGGTCTCCAGCTGCATCTAAGTTGCCACGAAGACCATGATTTTGATCTTTAGGTTGTGTAATACTCCATTGTGTGTATGTAATGAGAGACTGGGAAGAGGTTCTCCAATTTGGGAAAGGAAGGTGAAGAGAAGAATCTAAGACTTTCATAATTTACTTTGAAAAAAACCTTGAGAGTTTTTGTTGCTGTTTTAAGTTTTACACTTAAACCTACACTGTGTTCTTTGTGGGTATCGTCTTATTTGTGTATGTATTTTCAGAGTGTTTCGAATTATGGATGACAATAACAACCGAAGCCTTGATTTCAAAGAATTTGTGAAAGGATTAAATGATTATGCTGTAGTCATGGAAAAGGAAGAGGCAGAAGAGCTATTCCGGAGGTTTGATAAAGATGGCAATGGAACAATAGACTTCAATGAATTTCTGCTCACATTAAGAGTAAGTGGTCCCTTGAATCTGCCAAGTTTGGCTTTCACATGGTTTGGGTTGGCTGGCTATTTTGAGATTTTGTTTTTAGAAGTTGTTAGTACACTGTGGGGGAAGGATGGGCAGAAGATTATGAGCAAGTTTAGAAAATTTTTGGAGCAATAATAATGCATAATATTTAATGGCCCACAAATAATTTCACATCACTGAGGAGAATATTTCATCAGATAAAATACCAAAAAAGCTAATTTGCTTGTATATGTCTCTGTGTGTATTTTTTCTTTCTCTTTATGTAGCCTCCAATGTCCAGAGCCAGGAAAGAGGTTATTATGCAAGCTTTTAGAAAGTTAGACAAGACTGGAGATGGCGTGATAACAATTGAAGATCTTCGTGAGGTGTACAATGCAAAACACCATCCAAAGTACCAAAATGGGGAATGGACTGAAGAACAAGTTTTCAGGAAATTTCTGGATAATTTTGATTCACCCTATGATAAAGATGGATTGGTAAGTAAAAGAGCTTAATCTAAGGGAAATTTCTTCCATTCAATTTGAAATTATAAATGGGAGCTAGGTCTAAAACCTTATAAATCTCATCACATTGATACCGTATATGCTATAAATAGAAGTAACATATTTCCTTAGGAATCATCTAGAAAGTTGAGAACTAAAGTAATAAAATATACGTTTGCATAAACACATACAGACAGATACATATACACATATATTGGTATAGAATTCACATACAGTTAAATACCTACTAACTGGAAAATGTGGTATTTTGATCAAACACTACATTTCATGGTTACTTTATTCACCATACTCAGCTAACCGCATATAGCTAGACTATAATAAAACAAATATACGTTTAAAACGAGATTATAATTTAATTTTTAGAACAGCTTTACAAGACTTTTCAGGATGTTTTAGGGCCTTTACATTCATCCTTATGGGAATCATTTATCATCACATTTTGCTATATGAAAATGCCGCTTAAAGGTAACTTTTGGTAAAGGGAATGACAGATAACAGCATTTACTCGGATTTGTTCTTTAGTGTTCTTTGAGATTAACTTGCATTTCTAAACGACAGTGAATTTTAAAACAAAAACAACCACCCAGTCTCCATTAACTTTCATCGTTAAGTTGCAAACGTGTAGTCTGGCAGAGTAAGAAATTCCATCTCCATAACTGTGTTTAGGCTGAGATGAAAATGTCACTTGTCTTTTATCAACAGTTATAAATTGACTTTTATCCCCCCTGGAGCCAGTCCTGTTCTTAGGTGACCTAAGGGTTTTGGTGATAAGGGAAGGGGGTTGTCCCTTTGACAACAGTCAGCAACAGTAGAACCCTAGGGTTTGTTATCTCTTAACCCCTTTGCTACATGGTAAAAGATTAGTGGGACAGTGGATGAGAAGAAGAGGGCGGTTATGGGAAAAATAAATACATCTTTCCCTTCAGAAGGGAATTTCCCTCAACGTTTTTCATGAAACTTGTGATAAGTTCTATTAGCAAGGGTAGGGGATAGGAAGGGGATCTTTCTTTCTTTGTTGCTGACATTTTCTAGTCCGGGGTGGAGAAATATCCTCCATTTCAGGCTTAGGGATTGTGAAGGTAGATAAAAAGAGGGCCTAAGTTCTGTAGGGCAGCCAAATGCTTGGGGACAGGAATAACAGAACTGTATGTTTTCTTCCAGTATTGCTGGCCTTTGATGTCTGAGATGTCAGTAGAAAAATAGCTAACTGCCATTTCCCCAAATTAGTCCAACCCTACAAGTATCCCAGTGTCTTTGCTTCTTCTCTGCAGGTGGTTCCTCCTCATTGCTAGGGGAAACCTCAGCTGCTCTTTTCTTGAGCCCGCGTCAAAGTAGCCAGATGTTGTGATTCAGCTGATGTATAGTCCCCACACCACCCCACTTGACATTTATCTTAATACGCCACATTAAGCTCTCAAATACTCATAAAGGGTATTGAGGTTTTTAGCAGTTATAACACCTGATGTCATCTGAATATTACAGACTGTATTGATACCCAACTCTGACAATTCATTATCATCATTGCATGGGGAAGGGGGTGGGTAGGTATTGACAATCAGATTGCTGGCTGCACTTCAGAACCAGGTTCCAGTTTTGGGGGGGTTGAGCACAAAGCTTTACATCTTTAATAAATGTGCCAGAGGACTCTTTAATACATGTTCATGTTTGAGATCCTTAGCTCTAAATGATTCAGATGTGCCCATGTTTCTCAACTAACTATGATATGCACATGAGCCATATTTAGCATAATAATGAATTTGAGCAACATTTATTGAACACATACCAACTGGGCATTGTGCTAAGGGCTTCATGGGAAGATCTCATTTAATAGACATAAAAATGTTTCTGAAAAGTGTTGTGTGGTCAAACTTTTGCATGTTGTCTATATTTTAAATGCACGAAGAATTGATGTTGAGGAACTCCATGGTAAATTCTTTTATAAAGAGAACAATTAGCCCCTAATTTACCTTTTGCAAATTGAGTTGTTTTGTATATTAAGATTTCTTATGGTGATGTATAGCTACACTGGAAGCCAGTGTGCTTATTTATGGTTAAAAAAAATCCAGATAAGACAGAACTTGGAATAATGCCCCAAAATTAGCATAGTTCCTAGCCAAGGATGATATTAAAATTTGTGAACTTTAAATAGTCTAGAACAAGCTCTCATATGCTCATAAAGGTTACAGGAGTTTGCAGCAGTCATGGAATTTGATATTACATATCCTGTACTAATACCCCACTCAGTTCCACTAGCAGCGTGTACATCAGTAGCCATTTGGATGAAGGTGTGAAAGCAATCAAATCACACTTGGAGCAAACTTTTCTCATCCTTATTCTGTCCCTAAACCTCACGCTTTACTTTTTATTCTTTATTTTTATTTTTAGTTTTTGAGCCGGAGTCTCACTCTGTTACCAAAGCTGGAGGGCAGTGGCTTGCTCATGGCCACTGCAGCCTAGACCTGCTTGGGCTCAGGCAATCCTTTAGCCTCAGCCTTCCAAGTAACTGGAACTACAGGCACATGCCACCATGCTTGGCTAATTTTTTGGTTTATTGTAGAGATGAGGTCTCGCCAAGTTGCCCAGACTGGTCTTAAATCCCAGGGCTCAGGCAATCCTCTCACCTCGGCCTCCCAAAATGCTGGGATTATAGGCATGAGGCATTGTGCCCAGCCTAATTTTTATTTTTTAATATCTAGGTTTTACCCCACACTTTACTTTTTATTTTTTAATATCTAGCTTTTGAGTTTTTCATGTATATATATTACTTTATAATCACATTTAAAAAAAAACACTTAGAACTTTAGCCTTTGAGGGACTATGAGGCTTATTGCCTCATCTATCACAAATACAAATCTTTTAAGTAATTAAAATTATTTTAGGTATATTACTGAATGTATGTAACCTCACCTTGTTTTAGGATTTTTCCAATGAGTCTGTAGCTGAAAAGAGGGGACTGAATTATGACTTAGATATTTCCATTGCTCCCATAACATACACTTTGTCAAATAAGGTAGCCTCGTCAAGAAGCCTTCTAAAAATAGGAGTGTCCAATTTCCCATTTTAAAAAATGTCAAATAAAATAATGATAGTACTTATTGCTAAACAGCAGTTAACCCCGATGAGCGAAAATTTATGAGAGATCAGAGAATTTGTGGTTCAGGCCCTTTCTGATATAAGTTGAGTCTCAGGAAACAAGCAGAACCTAACTAAGAATAACTGATGACTTTTTTGGAAATAATCTAATACGTTAGCTCTGACTTCTGGTTTGACATTGTCAGACCTCCAGCTGAGGTTTAATGCTTCTCTTATTTTTTCCCCATCTGGAATGTTTTCTCCATTCTCCACTCAACTCAGCTCCCTGTCGCTCCACTCCATTGGGGGAGAATGGGATTAAGAGATGGGGTGGAAATATCAGTCTCAGTCATGGGTTGGTGTTTCAGTTAGAATTTGTTTTCAATTGCAAGTCATAGGAAATCATATTAAACAGTGGAACAAATAAATTAGGTTATATTTTTATCCTATATAATGTTCTATGTTGAGTGGCTTAAGGAGATCTGTATGACTCTCTTGACCATTCCTTCATTATCTGAAGATGTCTGCTTAACTTCAGCCAATACATCTAAGTTTTAGGCAGCAGGAAAAAGAGAGGGAGAAAGAGAGAATGGGATGGGGGCAGAGCCTATATCAGGAAAGCAAAAGTGTCCTTGAAATTTGTATCAAAATTTTGGTTGTATCTTAACTGGTGAAGATTCTTTCACCTGGCCATTCCAAGCTGTAGCTGCAAGAAAGTCTGGGGAAGTGAGTTTTTAGTTTTTCTACTTTTGTAGTAAAAAAAAAAGCCAGGGACAAAAATGTTACAATGGATGTGAAGTGAGTATCATTCAATGTCTGTCATCCTTGGTCAACAAGCAGACAATAATAACAACAACACTAAAAATATTTGTAGTTTGAAAAATTTTAAATAAAAAAGATGAGTTGTAACAATGTTCCTCAAACTGTCAAATTAAAGTGTACAGTCAAAATGGCTCACGGTCCTGTGCGTAGGTCCATCACTTTCCTTGCCATTAAAATTGTCCACTTACTTTTTTTGATTCTACTACCAGTCTGCGAGCTCTTTGAGGACAAAGACTTATCTTAATGATCTTTGATAGTCTCAAATGTTGATGTACACAATAATTAACAGTGACGCTTGAATAATTTTTAAAAAGTAAATTTCACAACCACTTGCTTTAGAAATGGTGACTTAGTAGATGTGAGGTAGGGCCTAGGAATATGCATTTATGACAAGAACTCCAGGTGATTCTGGCACAAGTAGTGTGGGCGTGCTGAGAAACATTGCCTGGGACCCCACACAGCACCAGAAATATAGAAGGGAGGCAAAAATTATGGGTGGAACTTAATGACTTAATAAAGGAATTAGAAAACAGAGGCTAAGGAATCCAAAGGAGGAGTAAAGAAATCCAAGAAAGGAGGACACTAATGGTATTCTAATCTTAACAAAGGCTCTGTGCATTTATTATGTGTTTATATTTACAGACCACTGATAAGTATATTTCAACTAGTAGCTCAGTGCAAATGCCTTTCTTCCTACTACAAGATACAAGAAAGAGAATTGTGAAACCTATGACCCTTTTTTTTCTGTTCACTTACAATTTCAGAAAGAAAGAAAAACCAAGTAGGTCAGTCAGCTCATATGATTCTTGGAAGGCCAAGATATGTTCCCAAAGACGTGGTAGGAGAAGATTTGGCTGTTATAGACTAGATTTTTAAATTTCTTGTGAGTGCTGAAAATTGAGGGCCTAAATAGATAACAATGGATCTCCAAAACATTCATCATCATTGTGCCTGTGGCCTCCCATATATGCAGATCCATACTTTGGGTTAAATTGACTGGCCATAGAAATCAGTTAAATAAAATGACAATTATTTCCCTGAATCAAATGATCATATCTGTCAAAATAGTTATATTAGAGCATATATATCATCCACACCTATTAAAAATAAAACTAACAACTATTTTTCTTCTTTCCCAAAGAAAAGTAATATAAAATCCTAGCATAGATATATATTCTTCAAGACTACAAAGAGACAGGCTTAGAGGTAGAATGAAGAGAGAACATGGGTTGGGGTGGGAGGCTTATAACAGGGGGTAACCTTTTTATTCATCCTGGGCCTTGAATGAGTAATTTCTATCTTAGAAAAGTGTGTTTAACTAGAAATCTATTTCTTTACCCACAGGACAGAACTCCATTTTGGGGGGAAGGTAAAACATTTCTTATCCTGACACAAGGACATGACATGCTGTTTCTAGACCTGTCACGGAAAGATAGAATTAACTACAGTTAAAGAACACTTGCTTTTTACTCTGAGTTTCAGTGTTCGTTATCTGAACTGACGGGCTCCTGCTCTTAAAGAAAAGATGACAACCTGTGTCTCACTTTCTATTTAGGTTGGCTTGGATATTTTCAAGACTTTTTTCTTCTCTTCCCCTGTGCCACTCTCACTGCCATCCTCAACTTCACTTTTTCTCTTGTTTTAGATCGATTCTTCAGTCACTATTACGCACACACACACAAAAGCCTCCTTGATGGAGATTTCCCTTCTATTTACAGGTACTTAAGGTGGACCCCCATTGACAGCATGAGATGCAAAGTTCCTTTTTTGTTTCAAACTTTTCTGCTGCAGGTGACCCCTGAGGAGTTCATGAACTACTATGCAGGCGTGAGTGCGTCAATTGACACCGACGTGTACTTCATCATCATGATGAGAACTGCCTGGAAGCTCTAAGTGTGTGACTTGGGGACCCCTGGGGAAAGCCACATAGCTCCAAATGATTAAACCTCAGCTTAAAAACCAGGATCATATTTGATTTCATGTTCATCCTTGTGTTTCTTCCGTGTCAACACACTGCATTTTTTTCTAGGGCTTGAAACCAGGCAGAAATAAAGATGTTAAGTAGTCAACTGTGGGCTTGTCTTCTCTGAGGCTGTTTCCTCCTTTGCTCTAAAACAGGATTTAAAGTAGGAGATCTGTAAAGCTCTTAGTGCTATAGTTGATGCACACAGGTGTCTAATCAACTTTGTGTTTTTCCCTTGGCCATTAATGAAAGTCTGATTATTTAAATTATGACCCCCACCATGCATCCACACTCACCTCCTTTTAGACGATCCATTTCTAGGTTCATCTAATTTTATGACTGACTGTAAGTCTTTAAATGTTGTAGTTCCCATTTGGGGACTAGAAGGAGACCAAATGTTAGCCTCGATGTCTTCAACTGAATCTTGAATTTCAGTGCTTGGGTTTTAGGGAAGTCTCAGTTTGGCTAATAGATTTTAAAAGACTTCTTTTTTGCAGTAATTTTAAGAACTGTTGCGAGAGAGGAGGCCATTCCTTTAAGCAGTAGATCCATGACAGTTCAAAGTACTTCTGTTGCTAAACTTTTAGGATGTGGTATGTGCTCAGATTTTACATGGAATATCTTGCCCTGTGAGTGGCAGACCACACAGAAAACATTCACCTGGTGGGATGTTTATCTCTTCCCTCTCTGTTTCCAGCCAATCATGTCGATGTTCTCACCAGCACAAGGAAGTTGGGTGTGACATAGATGAGGATCACAGGCATATTCTTAAGCAGATTTTCCATCTTGACACTTCATGGCTCAAAGCACTAAGCTTTGGTTGCATATTGTTGATGTATGGGAATCTCCCCAGGAAAGGCTACTAGAAGCAAAGACAGCTTCAGGGGCTGAAAAACAGTGAAACTACACTCTATAGTGTGTTCTGTATCTGGAGCCAGAGATAAACATACAGATACTTGGCACAATGGCTCATGCCTATAATCCTAGAACTTTGGGAGGCCAAGGTGAGAGGATTGCTTGAGCCCAGGAGTTCAAGACAAGTCTAGGTAACATAGTGAGATCTCTACTACGTGAGCTCCTGTCATATTAACTACTTGGGGCTGGAAGGATTGCTTGAGCTAAGGAGGCCAAGCCTGCAGTGAACCATGAGTGTGCCACTGCACACCATCCTGGGTGACAGAATGAGACTCCAACTCAAAAAACAAACAAAAGTGGCTGGCTTTTGGCTACAGTGCTGGAGGCAATACCCACCTGCTATGTTTCTCAGGTGAAACCTCTCATTGTGTTACCTCTGCTCCTGGCTGTACCCATCCTCCTATTTGGGGACATGGATTGGGTTAATGGGCTCCTTTAAGATCTTATATATTAAAGTGGCTCCAGATTTAAGTCTCAGAGCATTTGCCGTATTTTGTATCAATTCACTTTTTTACATTTTGTTTCATAGACTTGGAACTTGAGATCAGATTATGTATTGATTTAAAAATCGTGAAAACAAGTGCTGCCAGATGAGAATATAACAGTCATTAAATAGGGCACCCTACTTTGTTTTCTTGTTGAGAAGCTTAACTCTCATTTGTCATGGTGTCAGGCTGGAAAAGGTACCTTTCTCTTAAGGATGGGCGCATCCCCATATCATAGGAAGTTTTTTTTTTTTTTTTTAAACAGCTTAATTACACAAGTCTGTTTTTTAATTGAATTACCATCTAAGCTAATATATAGGTTGATAGATTGGTGGGCCAAAGAGTTATGAAAAAATATGTGGAAGTTATGTAGAAAGCCAAAAGAAATTATGAACAAATGTATAGAAAAATATCCGTGTTTTTTGCAGCCAAGATCTTGCAGATTGTGCTAAGGAGAGGTCCCCTGTTTTCTGGGCACAATGGGTTTCAAGCCTACCGCTCTAGATAGATAGATAGATAGATTCATGTCTTTGATTCTAGGTATGACTCATGCGTCTGATTAACTGGAGCCATAGAGTGAACACATAATTCTGAGCACAGACTAATTTGCAGTTATTAGCTTTGCCTTCCCCAGTGGTACTTTGTTTCCTTTCTAATAGGGGCACAGGGCACAACTAACCGATTTCAGATAACCCATGCCTCATAGTGTACTTGGTCATGTTCAGTTGCCTCCTTTCTAACAGTTTGGGTTCTGGACCCACGAGTAAGATTCCAGCAAGGCCCTCTCATCCTCTGGAAACAAAACCTCCTAATAACGCAATGATCAGAGATTGCTCTCTCCTATTCTCAATCTCATCTATGATTTCTAGCATAGTCAAGAATCACTCATTATTTAGCTCTACTCAGTCTAGTAGCAGTGGGAGGAACAGAGAAGAGTCATTTTAGACATTATTTTAATTTATGTATTTATTTGTTTAGAGATGGGATCTGGTTATGTCGCCCAGGCTGGAGGGCAGTGGCCATTCACAGATGTGATTATAGCGCACTACAGCCTCAAAGTCTTGGGCTCAAGAGTTCTCCTGTCTCAGCCTCCTGAATAGATGGGACTATGGCACCTGGAAGAAGAGTCATTTAAAAAATTGTGACCATTTTTCTGGATATATTGTGTGTATTTAACTTACAGATTTTAAACCTTACTTCGTTTGCAATTTCATAAGGAAGCTCTTAGGTTAGAAGATAAAATACAACAAAAAGTCTCTACAAATTCGGGAGCCCTTCACCTGCTGGGGCTGGACCTACATAGGAAGTTGAACGAATAAGTCAAAGAAGAGAGGATGAAATTAGCTTCGTATTTGAAACAGAAACGATGTATGTAAACATTCTGAGAATCCGGATTTATCAGAAAAAACTGCCCTCACCAATACTGAATCTGAGTTTCTAACTCCCCCCAAAGGCAAACCTATGTATGAATAGTAGGAAACTCTGAGTCAGCTGCTGCCAAGAGGTGATGCCAGTTGCACCCAAATTCCATTCATGGTGCAAATGAGACACCCTGATGTGCAAACTGAATTGTAGACTGAAGTGGAATTCTTCTCGCCAGCCTGCAGGGCTGGCTTTCACAGTCATCTATACCTTGAGAAGATATTCCCGGGCCCAGGTAGCTCACTGTGGCCCCAAGATCACACACTTGTTCTCTGGGCTGCAGGCATGGAGTTGCGTTTCATACCCCAGTAGTGGCTTTTCTTTTTTCTTTTCTTTGCCTCCCTCCCCAGGTAGCAACTTTTCAAGGCAGAGCTGGGTGTCTCATTGCAAGCTGCAGACTGACTCGGTGCACACCATGGTTTGAGGGTAGAAATACATACCATCGATGAATATTTATTGAGCCACCTGCTAGGCCATAGGGATAGAGCAGTGAACTAGGATAAACAAGCAAAATCACTGGCTCTCAAACCAAACTAACAGCTCACAGTTGTTGAGATCAAAGAGGGTAGAGGGAGGGAGAGGAAGCACAGGTCCCGAAATTCTTCTCCTGGAGTCTCATCCTGTGTCCAAATCCAGGAAAGTTGGAGAGCACTGTGTTGAGGAGGTATGTAGTAAATATGATGACTATAAACATCTATCAAGACAATGCAAAGAGGCAGATAATTGTCTTGGCCCTGCAATTCTCTTGTCAATGAGATTGTCTCACTGAGTCATGTAGGTACATTACAAGTAGGTGATAATGCACCAGTTTGGAGGCAGATAATTGTCTTGGCCTTTCAATTCTCTTGCCCAGTGTAGATTGTCTCACTGAGCCATGAGAATACAGTAGGTAAGCAGTCCATTCTCACTAGACTATCTGCAGATGCAGTCTGTTATGATGATGTTTAATCAAGTGCAGAGATTAAGTTAATCAAATGCATCCTTGGATGGTGTATGGGTGTCCTTCCCTCTTGCTTCATGAAATTCTGTTAACATCCTCTGAGTAGTATGCCTCTTTGGACTTATGCAGTTCTCTTTTGAGTACAGAATGAAGAATCTCACAACTTCCAATTTTCCAAACTTGTCACTAAGCATGCTTTCCTGGAAATTATTGGCTGTCCTTTTAAGTTAAGATCTTGGTGAATGAAGCAGAAAAGTTCAAAATCTTAGAAAAGCTTGTGTATGACTCAAAGGAAAAGCAAAAGTGACAAGGTCCGGATAGGTTGTCATACAATGTTATTGATTTTCCTGTAATTGAGCATTTTGAGAACCGATGGTTTTCAGCATGAGTTTATTCCTCCAAGTCACTTATATGAAAACTATATACTATCCATAGAAATAGAGAATTCTTTCATTCTAAAACAAAACAAAACAAAAAACTAGTTAATTCCCAAAATTATTTGTTCTAAAACTGATGATGGGTGAAATCTATTGAAAGAAACATAAACACATGATTAATGGGGTTTCTGAGAACACTGCTGTGTGAGAAGAATTCTTTTTGCCGTCTCAGTTGGTGCGGTGAGAGGTTGTGGTGAAACAGCTCTTCCTCTCTGAGAATAGCATGGTCTTCTTGTTTAATTCTCACACCTGCTTCGCCAGTTTTTTTTTTTCCCCTCAGCAAAATATAGTGGAAGATCCTCGTCAGGAGTGAGACTCACTGAAAATACGAGCAACCAGCCAGTAGCTGAGGTTTTGATATGGACCTTGAGAATACCAGAAATGTATAGTGCAGCAGGGAAAGAAAATCTCAAACTGTAATGATCTTTTTTCTTTTATATTAGACTCTTGTGATCCCTTATAATGGAATGTATCTATTGTTTCTCTGAAGTATTGTTAAAAGCCTTGCAGCCATTAAACATTGTTGATGCAATTTTGGTTTTGAAACTGGAGGTGTGACAAGCAGCTCAAACATTCCAAGGGTCTCCACTCAGCTTCCCCTTACACTACCCATACAGCTATCACTCATTTCCAATTTCATTCTGCTTCAGACCCTGTAATAAATTTACCAGGGACCTTGTGACTCAACTCAAGCCTCTGAAATCTTAAGCAAGACCTGAATAGTAGTTTGTTATCCTGTCCCAAAGACTTGAGTAACTTTTTCTTTACTGACCTTAACACTTGACATTCAGAGACTGCTGTTGACTTGGGAACATCCTGATCTTAAGCTTGAAAGGTTTGAGTTGCTGGTCTCCTGGAAACGCTCAGGCCACACACGGAACTGATGACAATCAGCATTCTGAGAGAGACTTAGAACAGAACGGAGACCTGGAATTGAGAGAAAATGACAGACATGGAGTGGCTTGCTTCTTCCTGGGTTA